CCCCAAAACCCCAAAACCCCATCAGTAAGAATGGAGTGTTTGAATTAATGGTAGATGTAAAAATATTTGTTTATTAGATTATCATTGACTTTGATTTGATTTAATACCGTAAATATTAAAAGGAATCACCCCTTTGATCAGATTGAGTTAATGCTTATGTAATTAACCATTAGCAAATACACATATTTCAAACACATTTATAGAATAATTTATCTCATTTTCTAAGCTTTTTCTTCTCCTCATCATTTCTTTAAGGGAGCTGGAGTTCTTACTCCTAGGGGGAGAATTGTTCTTCCATAAGTTTCATTTAGAATCTCACCGAAAGCTGTGTAAATGGCAGATAATCCGCAAATGATGCCTTCAATTCCAGCAGCTTTTCCTAATTGTACTGATTCAGTCCAATTATGAGCTGCTAGCAAGAAGAACAATATAACTACAGTGAAGAATACAAAGACAAGGGCATATGGAGCTTTCTTCAAGGTTCCAACGAACATGCATGTAGAGAAGCAACCCCATATGAATAAGTACCAACCCATACTCTCTGGACTAGATGCAGTGCCATATCCCATCTTTGGAAGAATCAATAGAGCGCACAGTGAGATCCAGAACAGCCCATATGACAAAAAGGCAATCATACCGAACATATTGCCTCTCTTCCAGTCAAAGATGCCTGCGAGTACTTAGGCGATACCCCCATAAAAGATCCCCATGGCTAGCACCATTGAATTTAAGGGATAGACTCCTGCGTTATGCAAATTCAAAAGGAAGGTTGTCAAGCCAAATCCTAGTAACCCTAAAGCTGCTGGATTGGCTGTTTTGTCTTTAATTTCAATGACTGCATTTCCCTTTCTCAAAGACTCAGCGTCAATAACATAGAATATTTGTCCACCTGAAACGATATGAGGGGGACTTGTACTGCTATCTCTACCTAAATGATGATGCTCGTCATGATGATCATCAAACTCATGGAACTAATATTAGATATCCCCTTTTTAATTAAAGCTTTTAGCTTTTTAGTATACATGACCTTTGCCAGCTGATTTTTGATCTTGCAATTCTATTTCAGTATGATTGTTTGAATCATGGTTGTCGTGATGAACTACTTCTCTCTTCATTTGACCACTGTACTTTATCTAGTTAATTGTTTTTTATCTAAGTTAATATATGTTCAATTCAAAATTTGCTTAAATAACCTAGGCAACTATTTCATAATCTTGGGGTTTTGGGGTTTTGGGGTTTTGGGGTTTTGGGGTTTTGGGG